CGGCCCGCGGTGTGGGCGCGGGGCGAGGCGCGCGAAGCGCAGCAGCGCACTCGGGAATGGGTGGCCAGGCACACCCGCGCGCCCGAGGCCCGGGACCAGGGCCCCGTCAGAGCCTGGTCCGTGCTGCCGGATAACTTCCCCTTGGAGCCTGGCTTCTGGGTCCCAGACCCTAAATCGGCGCCTCTGGAGGCCCCGCGCTCCCCGCGTTCTCTCCTTCCCGTTGTCCCGGACCCCTGGCCTGGGAACCCTCCACTGACAGTCTTCCGCAGTATTCGTTCTCAGCTGTCCCTCCAGGAGCTGGATGACTTTGTGGACCAGGAGAGCCACAGCAGTGAGGAGAGCAGCAGTGGGCCCAGAGAGTCCCCTGGGGGGTCTGAAGAGGGGCTCCACGGTGCCCTGGGAACCCCAGATTGGGGAAAGCTCAGGAATTCAGCTGGTGGCCTTTCTCCAAAGGAGGGCAGCTCCAGCAGGAGCCCTCAAGGCCCCAGGAACAGAGGGGATGGTCATACCTCTCAGCAGGTCCCAGCTGGGGCTAATGGTCTTGCAGGCCACCCCCAGGAGCCTTTGCCCTGGCCAGCTCCCAAGCTAAGGAGATCCCTCAGGATGAGCTCACGGGCAGAGAGAAGCAAATTGTCGTCCTCGGATGAGGAGTGTCTTGAGGAAGACTTGCTGAAAAGGAGCCGGCGCCCACCACGGTCCAGGAAACCCTCCAGGGCAGGAGCGGTGTCCAGCCCCAAGGTGGATGCTGCTTTGACACCAAAACGTGCTGACATCAAGGCTGCTGTTGCTGAGAGGGGTCGGCTGCACAGTTTGTGGGCCCCAGGCCGGCAGGAGCCTGCAGCCTTGGTCCCGCACAGAGCTTCTGAGCACAAGTCGCCTCTGGTCCCCCTAGATGCCAGGGAGCATGAATGGATTGTGAGACTTGCCACTGGCTCTTGGATTCACGTGCTGACTTTGTTTGGGGAGGATCCCCAGCTGGCTTTGCACAAGGACTTCTTAACTGGGTACACTGCTTTGCACTGGATAGCCAAACACGGTGACCTCAGGGCCCTTCAGGACTTCGTCTGGAGTGCCCAGAAAGCAGGGATTGCTCTTGATGTGAACGTGAAGTCCAGTGGTGGGTATACCCCCCTGCACCTTGCGGCCATTCATGGCCACCAGGGGGTGATGAAATTGCTGGTGCAGAGGTTGGCTTGTCGGGTGAACGTCCGGGACAGCAGTGGGAAGAAACCATGGCAGTATCTTACCAGTAATACCTCTGGGGAAATATGGCAGCTCCTGGGAGCTCCTCGGGGCAAGCCTATTTTTCCTGTCTATCCCTTAGTCCGAAGCTCTTCCCCCACCAGGAAGGCCAAGAGCCGGGAAATATCTAGAAACATCACCCGAAAGACTTCCCTTGCTGCACTACTCAAAAGTCAGCACCACAAATGGAAACTGGCCAACCAGTACGAGAAGTTTCCCACTCCCAAGGAAAGGGAAGAGTACAGTGACTAAGGTGGGCCCCTCTCTGACATGCAGCCCCCGCACCCCCATCCTTGAGCTACTCAGTGAGAGAGTCCAGGGGGTGAAGAGAAAAATGGCTGAGGAGCTGGTAAAGAGATCAAGTGAGAGGGCCTAGCGAGTGTTTACCTGCCTGGATTTTTTGTCAGCACATCGTGGATCTCAGGGGTCATTCCCTCTTTCCCACAGCTCAAGTCCTTGGGCCAGTGAAACCCCTACGGGGGCGCCGAGTCAGGTGCTCCAAGCCCAGCAGGTGTTCTTCCTCTTGCCTCGCCGCCTGGGACCTGGGCACAGTGCGCCACATTGTTTTCTGAAGCGGCAATACCAGGCCTTGGCTAGAGAGGGGACAGCTGTCTAACAAGAGGGAAGGCGCTTCCAGGAACTGACGAAGCACAAACAAAATCCTCTCTGGCTGGTAGCTCTCTGGCTTCTATTCATTTGGAGAATGATTTGGCTGAGAGCGGAAAGCAACAGATTTGAAATCAGATGGCTCCTCTTTCACTTTTTCATTCTTTTCTTCTTTTTCCCCTTTCTTCATTCTGTTTGTCCTTCCTTCCTTCCTTCCTTCCTTCCTTCCTTCCTTCCTTCCTTCCTTCCTTCCTTCCTTCCTTCCTTCCTTCCTCCCTCCCTCCTTCCCTCCTTCCCTCCTTCCTTCCTTCCT